CTCCAACCTGGGTAACATGAGTGAAACTCCGTCTCAAAAAATAAAAAAATAAAAATAAACTCATAATCCAAAATCAAAAAGCACATAGGAAGCAATATGTAGGTATCAGCCAGCACAACAAACGTCACCCTGCTTCCCCTCCCTGAACTCAAATAAAAAAAAAATCACACTGCCACGTGTGTACCTATGCAGCAATCTTGCATGTTCTTCACATGTACCCCCAAACCTCTAAATTGAAAAAAAAAAGGTGGGGGGGGGGAGAAAAGAAATACAGGGATTATGAAATGTCAATTCAATTTTTAAAAAATTTACTTATTATACTTTAAGTTTTGGCTTACATGTGCAGATCTTGCAGGTTTGGTACATAGGTATACATGTGCCATGGTGTTTTGCTGCATCCATCGCCCTGTCATCTACACTAGATATTTCTCCTAATACTATCTCTCTCCAATCCCCCCACCACCTGCTATTCCTCCACCACCTTCCAGGCCCCAGTGTGTGATGTTCCCCTCTCTGTGTCCTTGTGTTCTCATTGTTCAGCACCCACTTATGAGTGAGAACATGCGGTGTTTGGTTTTCTGTTCTTGTCAGTTTGCTAAGAATAATGGTTTCGAGTTTCCCATCCGTATCCCTGCAAAGGACATGAACTCATCCTTTTTATGGCTGCATAGTATTCCATGGTGTATATATGCCACATTTTCCCTGTCCAGTCTATCATTGATGGGCATTTGGGTTGGTTCCAAGTCTTTGCTGTTGTGAACAATGCCACAATAAACACGTGTGCATGTGTCTTTATAACAGAATGATTTATAATCCTTTGGGTATATACCCAGTAATGGGATTGCTGGGTCAAATGGTATTTCTATTTCTAGATCCTTGAGGAATTGCCACACTGTCTTCCACAATGGTTGAATTAATTTACACTCCCACCAACAGTGTAAAAGCATTCCTATTTCTCCACATCCTCTCCAGCATCTGTTGTCTCCTGATTTTTTAATGATCACCATTCTAACTGGTGTGAGGTGGTATCTCAATGTGGTTTTGATTTGCATTTCTCTAATGACTAGTGATGATGAGCTTTTTTCATGTGTTTGTTGGCTGCATAAATGTCTTCTTTTGAAAAGTGACTGTTCATATCCTTTGCCCACTTTTTGATGGGATTGTTTTTTGTTTTTTGTTTTTGTAAATTTGTTTTAAGTTCTCCATAGATTCTAGATATTAGCCCTTTGTCAGATGGGTAGGTTGCAAAAATTGTTTCACATTCTGTTAGTTGCCGGTTCACTCTATTGATAGTTTTTTTGCTGTGTAGAAGCTCTTAAGTTTAATTAGATCCCATTTGTCTATTTTGGCTTTCGTTGCCATTGCTTTTGATGTTTTGGTCATGAAGTCCTGGGCTCAAATATATCAAAGAGATTTTTAAACATGAGAAAAGAGTGAGATTCTGTCTTTAAAATGTTGAGGGACAGTTCCAAGTAGAGCAAGGAGCATTTATAGCTACAGGAGTCCAGATAAGTTTTGTGTGTGTGTGTGTTTCGTGTGTGTGTGTTGTTTTGTTTTGTTTTTTTGACATGGCGTTGCTCTGTCACCCAGGCTGAAGTGCAATGGCACTATCTTGGCTCACTGCAACCTCCACCTCCCGAGTTTAAGCAATTCTGCCCCAGCCTCCCAAGTAGCTAGGACTACAGGTGCACACTACCATGCCTGGCTAATTTTTTTGTGTTTTAGTAGAGACAGGGTGTCACCTTTCACCATGTTGCCCAGGCTGGTCTCGAACTGTTGAACTCGAGCAATCCACCCACACTGGCCTCGCAAAGTGCTAGGATTACAGGTGGGGGCCACCGCTCAAGACCCCAGATAAGTATTCTTATGGGGAATTGGCAGTCACAAAATTGGGAAGAGAAGGAATTGGGAGACAGATGAACAAGAATTGGTTCATAAAATGCCTTACACTCTGTGTTAGTCAGGACTCTTGTTTGCAAGTGACAAAAAGATAACATTTGTCTAGGGAGTATTTTGCTGTTACTGGCTTACCTGACCAAGAAAAATATTGTTTAAATGACAAGATCCAGAGAACCTCATTCTCTCTACATCTCTCACTGCTTTTTTCTTTGTGAATACTTATTTCCTTCTACTGCAGACTGATTTTCCCCCAAAAGTACAGAACATTGCCACTTGAAGTTTTTGACTCATACCCTTTTCTAATTTTCTTTTTTTATTGTGGTAAAATATATGTGGAATTTACCATTTTAACCATTTTTTTACATGTACAGTTCAGTGGCATTAAGGACATTCACATTATTCAGTTATCACCACTATTTATCTCCGGAACTTTTCCAGCATCCCAAACTGAAACTCTGTACCCATTAGACAAGAACTCCCCATGCTCCCCTCCTCCCAGCTCCTGGGAGGTCACTGCTATTCTATTTCATGTGCCTATGAATTTGGCTACTCTAGGTAAGTCATATAAATGGGATTATACAATATTTATCCTTCCATATGTAGCTTCTTTGACCACACTTTCTTTTTTTAAATTGACATATAGTATTTGTACATATTTATAGGGTTGCACCCTTTAGTTTTGATCAGAGAGGAAAGAACCTTCTGTGTGCACACACTTCCATCCCTTAGCTCCATTTTGAAAATTTTTGAAAGAAAACTAATTGCCTTGGCTTGAGTAATGTGCTTACTTTCAGACAAGGAAGATGACAGGTGTTGTGATTTGCCCATTTAGGGTTGCATGATCACCTTAGTGTCTTCCCCAGTTATCTGAAAACATACCGTCTTATAGAGTCCTCTGTCCTTTCTATCTAAAACAGCACCCCACACCAATCTCATCTCTTACTCTGCTTTGATTCTTTTCCAACGTACTCATCACTGCATATTATTAAATGTATTAATTTGCTTGTTGATTCCCTAGCCACTACAATAAAAGATTTATAACATTAGAGACCTTCTCTGTCTCATTTATCTCTGTGTTTCCAGTGCCTAGAACAGTGACTGGAACATAATTGTAACTATACTTAATTAATTTGAAATTGAGCTAGAGATACAGATTTAGTATTCACTGGTAAAAGTGATTAAAAGGAATTGCTCTTTCTTCCACCTCCTTCGTGAAAACGAAGAATTAGAAATTGAAAGGAAATTAACTGAGGATATATGAACAGAGTGATTAAACATGAGAGTTATGCACAAATACGTAGTGAAACAACAATGCTGTCTAAAGATGGATATCTGTGGAAAATACAACCTTGCATGATGGATACATAAGTAGAATCCTGAAATTGCAGTAGATTAAGCTCTTTCTGAAATTACTTCCTAATGCAGGATATTCACATTTAAACTATAAATGTGAATATATAAACCCATCAGGTGTTTGCATATATGTGTGTGTGTATACACACACACACTTTTATTGATTAACATTGGAAACTGGCAAATACAGATATGAGTCTTAAGCCACAATGGTCAGTACTGTTCTTTCAAAATTGGCCTTAGCTTTGCCAAGCAAGACAACATTCTCTGGAGCAGAACTTCACATTGTCAGGTTGCCCTACATAAGAATCACTCAGATACTACTCACTATAGCTGCCTTCCCCCACCTCTCTTCCCCCACCTGTCCTTAATCTCAAGGGCAGGGCAAGTCAAAGGGGAACAACATAAACGTTATATCTAAAAAGACAAAAAAAAGTAGGTAAAAATGATCATCTGTGCTTCCTGACTTTTGCATGCTGCTTTCCATCTTTTACTTTTCTTGGAGTTTATTATCTTTATGATGCTTCCTGGACATCCCAAACTTAGCCATAGTTGTACCTTAGCCAAGTGTACTCTACCCTGACTCCCTGCCAAAATTACTTCTTTCATATCTCCTCTCACCCATGTAATAAGCACCTTACCTCCAAATCCAATCAGGACTTCATTCCATAGTAGGAAAATGAAGTACATTGTCTCAAGGTTGTCCCCCTGCCATGACCTTTTTCTTACTACCTATCTGAACCATAAAATAAGTTACCTATGGCAACTTTCTGCTTTTCTTTCTAGGAGATTAATAGGGAGACCCATTGCCAAAAAGTTTTGGTGCTAACCTCCACCCCTACACTGACCCGTTAGGAAGTGGGAAAGGCAGATATGGGTACTCAAGAATAGTTTGACTGGGACAACATCACCCTTTCCAAGTTATTCATAGTAACAGTTTCACATTTATTCTTAATTATTAGGAACATAATGGCCATGCATATTACAAAGTGCTTGTGAAATTAATTACTGAATTCTTCTTTTCACTTGTGTACTTTAACTGATTATTTGTTATGCATGTAATGTGACTAGCTGCTCTTAATTTAAGAGGTGGCATTGCTAAAAAGTACTCAGCTGTGCTACAGTTAGTAGTATATACAGTTTTCTTGGTTTTAAAGGAAGATAATTAACTGAAATGTTGGAATATCCTAAGTATTCTATGGTAATTTTTGGCTTCCTTAAAAACTCCTGGGATTTTGTATGCTTTGAAATCACATTACTTTATCATACTTGATCTGTTTAGGAAACCTAATGTTATTAGCCTGGAATTTGTGAGTCTTTCAAAGGGGATAAAAAGCTATTCACTATAAATCACAGATTCACTAGATAGATTTGGGGACAAGCTTAGGGGAAAAAAAAATTCTAATACTGGCCAAGATAAATGAGACACAGTGTCAATTTTTCTGCCACTGACTAGGTAACCAGACTGCCTCACTTTAAGGATTTCCCTTTGGTTTATTATCTGTAGGTATCTGGAATAACTGGTTATCCTGTTACTCCACTGTAGCTGCCACAGTGCACAAGTTATCATTCTTTATTCTTCAAGGTGGTGAGCTTGGTCAAAAGTTACTGTGAGGCTCAGATAACTGACTTTAAGTCTGATAAATCTATGGAACTGGGTATATTAGATAAATTTGCTATAGTTTATGTACTTTCATACTTTTGCAATTACTTAGACTTCTAAAATGTATTATTTGTTTCTTTCATAGGATAATGAAGGCCAAACAGCTCTACATTATGGTAAGAAGTTTCTAAGTTACTAAATTATCATATTTGAACATCTTCTCTATTTGTTTTCAACTTTATTCTTACATAGTGCTTAGAAAAGTATCTGGCAGCTAGCAGAGATACAATAATTTTTTGTTTAAAAAATGTATTGGGCCGGGCACAGTGGCTCACACCTGTAATTCCAGCACTTTGGGAGGCCGAGATGGGCGGATCACTTGAGGTCGGTAGTTCTAGACCAGCCTGGCCAACAAAACCTGTCTCTATAAAAATATAAAAATTAGCCAGGCGTGGTGGCAGGCGCCTGTAATCCCAGCTACTCAGGAGGCTGAGGCAGTAGAATCACTTGAATCTGGGAGGTGAGGGTTGTAGTGAGCCAAGATCACACCAGTGCACTCCAGCCTGGGCGACAAACTGAGACTTCATCTAAAAAAAAAAAAAATGAAATGAAACCCTGTCTCTACTAAAAATATAAAAATTAGCCAGGCGTGGTAGCAGGCTCCTGTAATCCCAGCTACTCAGGAGGCTGAGGCAGTAGAATCACTTGAACCTGGGAGGTGGAGGTTGCAGTGAGCCGAGATCACTCCACTGCACTCCAACCTGGGTGACAAACTGAGACTACATCTAAAAAAAAAAAAATGTATTAATAACTTAGTAAGTTGAAGATATATTAAAATTCTTATGGTCACGTTTAAAATAAATTGTTTCTGTACTATCAACAGAAATGGAGACCCCTCCAGACCCTGTTTGAAAATTCATTATTTCATTCTTGGTTCTATTCATGAGTGACAAGAAAGATGTTAATTATTGCCACTGTAGAATTTAGCATCTCTCCTACAAGAAATATTTTTGTTGATCTAATTGAGAAAAATAAATATAATTTTTAACTAATTTCTTTTACAAAGGGATTAGCTTAAGAAATCTGTAAAATAGAAAAAAAAATCAGATAGAAATTATAATATGGCAGCTCTGCTTAGTAAATTCAGTGAGATTAAAGATATTCCAGTATTTTGTAAAATGTAAAGTACTAGTAAATATAATTAAAAGAATCTGAGTACAGTGGTGCATGTCTATAGTCCCAGCTACTCAGGAGGCTGAGGCAGGAGGATGACTCAAATCCAGGAGTTTGAGGTCAGCCTGAGCAACACAGATCCTGTCTCAAAAAAAAAAAAAAAAAAATTCTATTTGGGTGTGAATATGGTTGAATGACAGACAGCCATCAATATTCAAACCAGATTACGGACCAGCCACCTTCTGACCTTTTGGGAGGGAATGCCCTGTTGGGAGGGAATACATTTGGCAATCTGGCAGTCTTAGACTGCCATTCAGTAACAAGTGGTTCAGATGACTCTGGACACTTTATTCACTGCTTGGACTTTAAATTTCCACTTCTTAAGTGTTCAAAAATCCCAAGCTTAGAAATCAGCTAAGGGATTTCAACCTGATAGTGTCTCTGGGATGCTTGGCAGAAACAAAAGCAAAATCATTCTGGAGGGATGATTCTGGAGAAACCTCACTGTGCTATCTAGGAGTTTTAACCTATTGAACTGGCTATTATACTACCTATATATGTCAGCCTAATTGAGGTTGAAATGTCTGTCACCAACTGCCAGCCCTAACTCACTTATGAGTTTATCTAGCATAACCTTGGTACCAAAACCAGCAGGAGAAAAGAAAAGAAAATTGTGAGTCAATCTCACTTTTGAGCATATGCAGAAATCCTAAATAAAATATTAGCAAATGAAATCCATCAGTGTATTTTTAAAGGAAAGAAAGATACATGTGCTAACCAAATTGAGCTTATCCCAGGAATTCAAGGATGACTTAACATTTTTTTAAAAATCTATTAATGTAGCCTTCTACATCAGCAAATCAGGTTAAAAGAATCAAATCAAATGCAGAAAAAAGCATTGGATGACGTTCAACACTCAAAAAGCTGTAGAAAAAAGTAGTTAAGACCCTGTGCTCTTAAGCCAGACTTCTGGGTTCAAATTCTAGTTCTACCACTGACCTGGGACAAAATACTTAACTCACACTGTACCTCAGTTTACTCATGATGAAATAGGGAATAATAACCTCAGAGATTTGTTATGAGTTAATCTTTGTAAAGTGCTTAGAACAATGGCTGACACTTGGTATATACTCAATGAATGTTAGTTAATTCTTTTTATGATAAAAGCTCTTAAACTAGGAATAGAAGGAGACTTCTATGGCCTGATTAACTTTCTTATCAAAAACCCAGAGCAAACACTATTATTAAAGATGGAATGTTTGGGGCATTTTCTTTACAATCAGAAACAAGAAAAGCATGCATACCATAACTATTTCTCTTCAATACTATATTAGAATTATAGATAACACAAAATGAAAAAATAAATAGTACATGAGATGGATAAAACAAAATCATCATCATTCTCAGTACAATTAGGTACATAGAAATACAAGAAACTCTACAAATTATTAAAACTAATTATACAATTTAGCAAGGATGGTGAATGCATTCGTTTCTTAAAGTTCACTCTTAAACATTAGTATAAAAAGGTAAAAAAATTTAAAAATTATTTTAAATATTATTTACAACAGCAGCAAAGTCCTAGGACTTAACCTAACAAAAGGCATGTAAAACCTTCATAGAAAAAAATGTGATTTTTTAAAAGACATTTTTAAAGGAACTAAGTAGAAGGAGAAATAATCCATGTTAATGAATGGGAAGACTCAATTTCATAATGATCATTTCTGCCAACACAAAGTACAAATTCAGAGAATTTGCATAAGAATTTTTCAGCAAATACTTGTGGAATTTAACAAGCTTGTCCTAAACTTCATATGGAAGATAAAGGAGCCAGGAGTATCTAAGACAGTTTGAAGAAAAACAAGAAAGAAGGACTTGGTCTTCCAAATATCAAGATGTTATTTTACAGCTATCATAATGAAGGCAGAGAACTGAATTCCAACATGACAACATCAGAAGCTTCACTGACACGCTCTGTTGTCAAACTGGTGAAAATTATTTTCAAAACTGTAGACATTTATAGCTTCTGAAAATGGTATTAAGGACAAAAAGCAAATGAAGAGACATCTATTCAAGAGAATCTACAAAAATTTGGTAAGAAGGAAAACTTTGTAGTATTTGAGCCAAGATCACTTCCTCCTTTCCCTCTTGCCAGCCCAGCAATGTGGAGACTCCACTCCACAATGCTGTAGCCAGGAACGCAGAGCTCCCTCTCTTCCCAGCTCCCAGTCAGAGGGCTTTCTTCCTGGTAGAAGCAGGACAAACATTTTCCACCTTGCCTCCAGCTACCTTTTGCTAAGGCTGTCCTGGACAAATGTGGTCCTAACTACTTGGGAGGCTGAGGCGGGATAATCACTTGAATCCAGGAATTGAAGGCTGCAGTGAGTCATGATCATGCCACTGCACTCCAGCCTGGTTGACAGAGTAAGACCCTATCTCAAAAAAAAAAAAAAAAAAAGAACTATGAGTAGTCTGAAATTGCCCCCTACTTACAAGCTAACAAGTTACCCTGACACAGTTTCATGGTTGCTGGCAAAAGACAAAACTTTTGGATCAGAAACAAAAGACTTTATTATCCATGGCACAGCAAGCAGCCTGAGCTTCATGTTTTCATCATTTCTTCTTGCCTCCAAAGTCCCACCAGAGCAATACAGAGAGGCCTAGGTAGATACTGCACACACCGTGTGTCATGGCTTAGGAATCCTGATCTTACGGAACTCTAATCCTTTATAATGGGCCACAAGCAAACCTTTGCTCAGGAGGAGGTATTATGTTGATTATTCTGGGTGGTAAGCATACCTGCCCTCCGCTTTGGAAAGAAACACTATCTCTGTTGTCAAATATTTTCTTTACACAAACATCCTTGAAACTTAGTCTAGAACAAAAGCTGTCTTATGTCTTCTGCATGTACCTTTGTACCTTATGTACATTTGTACATAAGACGTGCAGAAATGTGAGAGACCTTTCAAGAACTCTCCCAACAACAGTTAATTCAGGAATGCAGATTAAAACATTTAGATACAACTTCATACTCATCAGATTGGCAACATGTGAACATCTACACATATTAGTATTAGAATGTAGAACAACAAGAATTCTACATTACTGAGGAGAGTGTCAACTGTTACAGCCATTTTGATATCAGTTTAGTAAGATTTAATAAAGTTAAAGGTACACATACTCCACAACCGAGTAATTTCAGTTCTAGACATATACCAGAGAAAAACTCCTGAACATGTGTATAATATGATTTAGAACATTTATTACAGAATATTCGTAGTAGTTAACAACTTGTTTTATTGGCCTCTATATTCCTCTGTATGCCATGCTTATAATATTTGTTAATTAAAATTGCACATAAATGCATCTGTGCACATACAAACACATATGGTACCAAATCCCTTTGAAAGAACCATTAAAATGAGCATATAAAATAGTAAAATAATAAACTATATTTAATCTGTAAGCTCCTGTCTATAAATAGCCCTCTAGAAGAGTTTTTTGTTTGTTTGTGAGTCGGTGTCACACTCTTGTCACCCAGGCTGGAGTGTAGTGGCCAAGTCATGGCTCACTGCAGCCTTGAACTTCTGGGCTTGAGCAGTCCTCCCACCTCAGGCTCCCAAGTAGCTGGGACTACAGGACGCACCACCACAGCTGGCTAAGTTATTTTATTTTTGTTGAGACAGGATCTAGTACAGGCTGTTGTCAAACTTCAGGCCTCCAGCAATTTTCCCATGTCAGCCTCCCAAAGCATATGTAGTCGTTGTTGTTCTCACCATTTTATAAATGAGGAAACTAAAACTCGAAGAGATTAACAAGCTTGCCTAAGGCGACTGGAAAATCAAACCCATGTCTCTATATTTACTAGGAAAGGACAGAAAAATGAGTGTTTTCCCATACCTCCTTCCACAGCATTCACATCACTTACTCCTCAAACATGTTTATAAACTATTTCTATCATATGACTTCTCCTGTATTATCAAGAGCTAGCTGTTCTAAACCC